AGTTATTGATAAATGACATGTTGGTTAATAATCCGTAACATTTTTGCAGCCCAAACACTGGCTATTTTGAGTACATTACTAGGAGTAAATTTACCCAGGAGTACCCTGAGCAATTGTTTTTAGAACATTAACATACACATAGATGCATAGTTCACACCTGGTTTACCAGCAATACCTAAGAATCCCTAAGAAGACTTTTACTTCCATAAAACTTTTTGGTTGCCCATCCTTTCATGTACTTATTATTCTGGCATCCCTCCTACCTCTCCAATATAGCTTAATTTAAATATTCCATTTGGTTCTGTACTGAGCCACATTTGGCCCGAGAGCCACAGGTTACACTCTGCTTAATGGCAGAGCAAGCAAAAGGTGCCAAGTTCTACTCCCAGCACCTCAAGTAGGACATGGTGGGAAAGGCCTTTTTAAAGTCACTGCCAGCACCAATCAAGAGGAGACAACATCCTGCAAAGCCCTATATGGGCTGGTGCCTGCATGCCTTAAGTTCTGCCTACTCCCATTCAAACCAATCTAACCCTTATGACCAAATTCAAGAGCCCTACTTCAGGTCACCCCACCATCTAAGGCTTAATGAGTGGCAATCTGAGAAAGGGCCTTCTTAGTGTTGGCACCAATATAAAGGAAGTGCCTGCCTAGGGGGATTTGCCTATTCCCCATGATCACTGTCTGCTACCAGCAAGACTTTTCCATTTCGTCTGGCATACCCTTACTGACAATCCTTTTTGTTTGCTTTTCATCGTTGATTTTATGTAGATACATGTCCTGTTTCCAAAGCCTTTTTATTTGTTTGCCACTTTGAGGGCCCTAATTGGGTGGAAAAGCAACATACAAGTATTTAACATACATATTGAGCTAAATGGCTCAATGGTCAGACTAAATATAAGGCTAGTGTGTGTTATATGACCAGCCCTATGGAACGGGCACATTCTGAAACAGGTATGTTGAGAAAGCATCGGATGTATTCAAAGTCTTTTCTCTGTGCTGCTGTGCACAGAGTTGCTCCATACCTTAGTACCAACACGCAGGCAGCCACCAAGGAGTAAGCCAGGAGTGTCCCAATGGACATAAGATCTACAAGATCTTTCAGATCAAAAAGAAAGGCCATAACAGCTGGTGGGAGAGACAGAAATAAAACATTAAATAAAATAGGATATTCACATTTCATATACAAGTTAGCGTAACTGTGGCAATTCAATCCTTATGCACACCTCCATTCAGATCAACCTCAGAGAAAAGAGAAATGAGTAAATTGTGGTGGGAGGAGGAGGAGAACATGTATGCATGGAAGAGAATGGCCAGGGTTTCTCTTCTGGGTTTTTCCTGCAGTAATATTCACTAGTGAAGACCTTTTAAAAAAAAAAATAGACAATGGCTGTCTTCAGGAACTGCACAGAACCTCAAGGTCTAGAAAGTACAAGTAATCCTACAAACAACACTTTCAGTTGCTTTGCTTGTTTGAATAAGTGAAATTTCTGGAGAAAACTGGGGTAGTGAAAAGGAAAGGACTCAGTAGTCAGAAGAAGTAAACAGTGGGCAGTGAGAATCCTAGAGAAAAGCAAAATATTGCAGAACATAAGACGTTTCTTCTGGACGGCTGACTGAATAGGTGAAATTTCTGGAGAAAACTGGGGTGGTGAAAAGGAAAGGACTCAGCAGTCAGAAGTAAACAGTGGGCAGTGAGAATCCTAGAGAAAAGCAAAATATTGCAGAACATAGACGTTTCTTCTGGACGGCTGAAAACTATCTCCATAGAACAATCTGGTTTCTGAGCCTTTAGCAGACACGACACACGGGTATGGTGGTGGTGGTGGTTGTTTTACAATCACAAAAGCTGAAAACTTGCCTAAAACCAGTTGTAGAGTTCTTTCTGTGTTGCTAGAATCTACAGGACACAAAGCCATTCCATGCTATGCTTCTCCCTGACACTATGTCCAAAGAGTTCTTAAATTCCAAGATGAATGTCTATCTACCAAGTTCTTAACTAAGAGGCTCCTTTCAGATAATCCTCCAAAAGTCTTAGAGAATCCTATAGACCATCTGAACCGGCACCAGAGACAATACCTGGAGCTGGTCATGTTCTGACTAATCAGAAAATAATTGGGGCGGTCAGCACGCTCGATGGTAAGAGAGAGCACAAACGCCTCTTGGGTACCTGAGTTATTCCTTTGTAAAGCCCTTGTTATGTGAGGAATGTTGCTGGGTCCCTTTGGCAACAATATCTAAGCCCTGCTCCATACAAGCAGGGGTCACACAAGACCAGACTATGCTCCCTCGCCCTCCTCGCATGCCAGAATTTAACTGAAGAGACGTCTTTGGGACAGATAGGAAAGTACACTGGAAATGCAAGGAGTGTTACATAATTTTTGTTTTCTTTTTTTTCCTTTTCCTTTTTGACCAACCAATCTGGTGAAGAGTTCTATAGAACTTGAAAGCTTGTACACTGGTTTTTCTTATTCTACTTAACCTACAATGCACGAAAAACAAAATACTCCCCCTACCGTACTGATGCATTTATGAAACTAAGTCTAAAAACGGACATAGAAAGCTTTTTACATTCCATACTCTAAACCTCTTTGCCAGTTTAGATTACGAACCTTGCTCATAATCCAGTAACAATTTGCTGCATAGAGGAAGCAAGAACAATATAAACAACAGGAAGAACAATTTCACAGTAGTTTGCACAAGATATCTTTTGTTTTTGTGTGTGTGTGTGTCTGGAAGTCAAGGCTGACTTCTGGCAACCCATAGTGGGGCTTGGATGTTTCAGAGAGGCCTGCCTCTGCATTCCAGCCCTGGTATCCCTTGGAGGTCTCCCATCCAAGTACTTGCCAGGGTCGGGCCCGCTTAGCTTCTGAGATCTGACGAAATCAGGTTTGCCTGGGCTATCCAGGTCAGGGCGCACAAGATATCCTACAGTGCCCAACATGCACTTTATTTCAGGCTATCATAACTATCAGGAAGCCCTATCTGGAAAGAATACAGGTGGACATAAAGCCTGACAGTCGCTGTGCATGTATGATTTTGAGTGTTAGAAAGAATGTGTGATGAAGCAAAGCTCTAAAGCAAGGAGGAGTAAAGCATGTTGTCATCTACAGAGAGATCACAACCTCAGAATTGAGACTGTTTAGCTTAAAGGGAGACAGAATTTGACCGCCTGATCTCCTACAGTAAGAAGGCAGAAATCCTGTAACAAGCAATGCCAGAAATGACTGGAGTAGCCATTACAATATGTGCCATTCCAAGAGCGTGAGTTTTCCATAGGTGATATAACCCAATAAAAGACCAAACAAATTGGTACAAGGATTATTTGCCAGAAGGGCACTAATGAAGAGAAATGGCACAAGGATAAAACAGAGGAGGAGAGAATCAGATGCACTGTCCTGCCTTACTTGGATGAAGGACAAGATTAAAAAACTGTAACAGGCAAGCAAGAGCCAAGTTTTCAAAGACTTATCTTAGAATCAAGATCGGGGAATTATAGGGGGGGCTGTACTAAAAAAAAGATTGTAAGTCTTCATATATAAGTTTGCACTGATTTTCACCAACTACCCCCTTAGGGGAGCCCCTCCCCCCCAAAGATTTCAGTACTCAGTACCAGCGAGTACTGCCACAAAAAAAGCCCTAGTATTATCTGCACCCAGGTGAACTTGACCAGTTGGCAGGCTGAAATCATATGGCAGAAATTGCTTACGGTGAGCTGGCTGTGGTTAAAACAGAGGTGGAACATTAATTTGTGTTGTTTGAAGTGTGGATCTGGTCTCACCTGCCACGGCTCCTGATATTATCGTAGCAATCATCGGAGTTTTTGTCCTCTCATTGACACGAGCCAAAAATCTGAACAGGAGCCCATCTTCTGCCATGGCATAAATGACTCGAGGCATTGGAAACATGGACCCAAGCAGGCTAGCAAGAGACAAAGGCAGAAGTTATTGTGAATACATATCTTACATTCCCACACATCAGCAAATACAGCATAGAAACATTCCAGCAAAATGGACTTCATCTCTACGCTAAGGAATGTACATTCTTTACAGAGTGAAAATAATTTGCAGTATGGGCATCTAAAGCCGGAATGAGGAAGAGAAAGGAGAGAATGGAGGCTTTTGCAATCTTGTTGAAGTGCAACCTAGAAAACTCTCTCCTCTCTCTCTCACTAAAGCTGGGGTTTCCATCATTCAAATGGCCTCCACTCAACAGTCTTACAGATCAATCCGAAATAGTGCTACAACCTCTAAGCATGCTGACTGCTTAGGATTGCTCCATTAAGGACTTCATGCAATTCATTTTGAACTAATTCTAAAGCTAGTTTTGCAACATTCTAAATTGAGTTGCAAACCTCCAGGTGGTGGAAATCCAACAGCAACATCCGTGTCAAAAATAACGAAGAGTCAATAAAAATATGTTGCAAAATAATTTACTGTAGTAATTCTGTAGAAAAATATCTTCTATTATCTACAGAATTACTACAGTAAATGATTTTGCAACATATCTTTATTGACTCTTCTTTATTTTTGTCACGGATGTTGCTGTTGGATCTCCACTTCCTCCTGTGATCTCTCATTTTTGGCTTCAACCTCCAGGTGGTCGCTGGGAATCTCCTGGGATTACGTGCTCCCCTCAAGCTGTGGAGTCCTGTGAGCAAAAATTCTACTTGGTGAGCTCCTGGCATTAAAGTTGTGAGTGAGCGATTTGGCTGCTGCATGAATTAGTTTGCTCTGGAGCCATCCTTCCTGAGTGAAGACAAAAAACTTGTGAGCCAGAAGCTAAAAAACTGTGAGCTAGCTCACACTAACTCAGCTTAGAGGGAACACTGATTAAAACCGATCTCCAGGTGATCAGTTCACCTGGAAAAGTGGCTGCTTTATATCCCACTAAAGTCCCTCCCCTCCCCAAATCCCACCCTTTCCTCAGGCTCCACTCCCCAAATTTCCAGGTATTTCTCAGTCCAGAGCTGACAACTCTACATCTAAATAAACATTTTAAGCTCCTGTTTTTATTCCTAAAATGGAATTCTAGGTAGCTGATGTTTAAAAGTCCAGAAACTATAAAATAAAAGCAGTAAATTGTACCCAAGACAGTGTCAGACATCACATTAAGATCAAGTCAAACCATAATACTACAAATACACTAAAGAGTGAATACGTGTTGAAAATCTGGGGATGGTTTCAGACGTGCCCTTTCTGAAGCAGAAGATGATTTGGGCTTTCTAAAATCCTGTATCTGAGGATGCTGAAACGAGTGCCTTTCATGATATTTACTATGCCTTTCTCTCACTGAGTCACCACATTGACCAACAGCATGTTTCCAGAGGCCTGAGGCCTATCGTTAGGCAGCTACATGCAATACCCTACAGAGCCTACCTGAGTAGAATTATACCTTTTTAAGCCCATTTGCACAGGATGGCAATGTAAATGGTCTCTTAGGGGTGAGATATAGGCAGCATCAAGTCAAATTTTCCTACCTACCATACCTACTCCCCAACAACTTCTGAGTTGTTACCGGGAGGTGTTTTCTTTGTAACTTAAACAATTGTTAAGAAAGTTATCTTTTATCCCTAATATCTTTTGAACTATTTTTTTTTAAACTGAGAGGGGGAGCAGGCCCTTTAGCAGTGTAACACATTTAAATTGGGATGAAGAATGAAGATCATGGGTGGTAGGGAGATGGACAATGTGGTACCAGTCCCTTCCTGCCCTCAATTTCCACTTGCATCTGGAGCTCTCCCTACCAATCGTTTAAATCCAGTAGCTTGTTTCACAGTCTTTAAAAGCCAGAGGAAGTTTGAGGAAGGGGAGGGAAAGGGGGTGTGTCCTTCTTTTCAATTCCTCATAGGTTACCCACTTGCTTTTCATATCTGTTTATCAGTAAGAATCCAGTTTTATACCCCACCTTTCAGTACAAAGTTTTCCTGAGGCAGCTTTCAAAATATTAAAAGTTATCAATACAATAGAAAGTAAACCACACAGGTAAAAAACCACAGAACAGCAGCTAAGCAGTCAGGGATCAAAAGAGACATCCTACGCTGCAGGACAACGGGGGAGTCAGAGCACCTTGACTTTTGCTTCAGAAGCGTGAATCTAATTATGAATACTGGGCTGGATCCCACCTAAGATTTCTGCACATGCTGGGGGGCATGATTTTCACCAACTCTCCCCTCCCACAGCAAACCTCAGACCCCCCCAACCCGACCCCCCTGCCAAGCAGCAGCATTTTAAGGGGCATTTGGGCTAAAGGCAGAGAAGAGGCAGGGAAATTCCATTTCTGCAGATGAAAACATTTCATTTCAGGAAATGTCAGGCATCGGGATCCAAGTCAGAAAACCTGCTTAAGGCACACAACTCATGAAGCACCCTTGGCTTTCTGCTGTAGAATAGGATTGTTAACCCCTTCACTGACCAAGTCAAAGGAAGCAACAGCACTTACCTGGTAGAAAGAGCACAAAGTGAGCCAACAGCCACTGCATAGTTTGCACCTTCCCATTTCACATACTTAAATGCATTAGGCAAAGGGCTGTTTTTATCTAGTAGGTAGTAAGGCATCATGAGGGTGAGAGCAGCCGACACTCCAAAGTACGCAACAAAGCAAATCAGAAGCGAGGCCACAATTCCTATTGGAATTGCTTTCTGGGGGTTTTTGACTTCCTCTCCTGCAAAAAAAATCAATCAACACAGAAACTGTTATTGCAAAAAAAAACAAGTTTACCAGCCAGTGATGTCATGGAAGAAAAAGTAATCCTACTTGCATCATCAAATCAAAGTTTGCCATTGACTTGTAGCTAACTGACAAGACGGTATATATTTGCCAAAAGGTAAGCTTCCTCTTTCAGGTTTTTATCATCATCAAATCAAAGTTTGCCATTGTCTTGTAGCTAACTGACAAAGACGGTATATAAAAGGTAAGCTTCCTCTTTCAGGTTTTTAGCATTTCATTCAATCAATTTTTATTTATGCAAGATTTTTCTCATACCTCCACTTTTTTTTGTTACTCGATTAAGATTTGGGACAGAAAGCAATTTTTTTTTTTGCAACATTAAACTTGGGAATGGGATGAGATCCACATGGGATGAAGTATGTATTCCTAGTAAACAAAATTAAGATTCTTTACCACCACCACCACGGTGGATGGGCGACATGCTCCGCAGGAAAAACCACATAAACGTGATTAGCTTCTGCATGAAGAATTAATAATGTATAGCTAATTACCATAGCCAATGGCATGTAGTTACATTGGTAATAACTGTGACATTCAAGAATGTTCCTCTAAATGTGAAACAGCTTGGTTCAATCACACCAGAGTTCAAACAAGTTACATGATTCAGTATAATGGAATTTGACTTTCTTTTACTTGTCTCCATTTCTAAGTAATTCAAATTTCTTTCCTTTCGAGTTTATCAACGACAAGAGCTAGAAGCTTTTAAAAAACCTAGAAACCGTAACCCTCATAATTCTCTACAGAGGCTACAGATATTAAAACAAAGCATTTCAAAGGAAATGCCCTGCAGATGTCTATCCCGATATGAAGGCTTCCAAACATACAACAATCAGTTTTCAAGCTTTGGTTGCCCGATACGTTTAATAAACTAGAACATTTAGAAGGAGACTCGGGGACAGGTCTTTCACTCATTTACCAACCACAATCTGACGATACTATGTCATCTCCCTCCACCCACCCTGACTTACTACAGGGTTAGGTGTTATAACCTGGTGCTTTTTAGTAGCCTCATGAAGCCACAGTATGAGATTCGTCCATAATTTTGAGCTGGCTGTCATCAATATCTGGGGGACACCTAGATCTCTATTTCATTTATTAAAGCCGCTAGAATCACCTATCTCTGCCCGAAAATCAGTGCCTAAAAGCCACAGACCAATGGATCAGCAAGGACAACTGGGGGACACAAATCAGTGATATGAACTCTTCACAGCCAATATGATGATAGGACATCAAAGACATGGCATGTTCTGATGTGAATGCTGGAAAGCGCGTATGACTTGGGCACAGTTATTGTTGTGCTGGACAGTTAAAACACTGGGGGGCTGCTGCTGCTGCAGGCAAAGCTCACCAGAGGTCACTGATACGTGTAACTTGGTAGTGCCTGGTCACCACAAAAAGATGCGGGAAGGAACATATACTGCTTTTCATCATATCCTGTGACTTCACCTTCAAGGGGAGAGGCCATGGCACAGTGGCCGAGCATTTGCTTTGCACGCTGAGGAAGGTCCGAGGTTCAGTCCCAGGTATCTCTGGCTAAACAATGGTAGTGATGTGAAAGGCCTCTGAGACCCTGGAGAGCCACAGCTGGTTAGACAACACTGACTTTGCTAGACTAACGGTCTGGTTAGGTATAAGGCACCTTCAAACGTACCTTCCTCACTTGGACCCAGGGGAAAGAGTTCTGTCTAGCCTTCTCATTGATGTGTCAAATTACAAGCATCCTTTATTTATTGGAGATTCCTCCACCCAGCAAAACAGAAGCATTTAAACATGTTATTACCTGTAGCCAATGTTTATTATGCAATTCTGCTTAGTTATTACTTCCAGTCAACCGTTCTGGCTACTGCTTTAATTCCCACCTGCAGCACTGCTGACTGTTTACAGGCATCCCACGCTACAAGGCTAACAGGCTGAGAATTCTGTTTTACTTCCCGTTCTCCATATGGTTTAATGCTATCCTGAACAGCAACATCCAAATCAGGCCTACACATAGACAGAATCCACAATGAAGAACTGTGCTCACTCACTGTGAATACTGTGACCTTACCTGTGGTGGCAATACAGTCAAATCCTACAAATGCATAAAAGCAAGTAGCTGCCCCTGATAGTACTCCAGAGAAACCATAGGGCATGAATCCACCAGCACCATGTGGGGTTTCTTCCTGGGTGACACTAAAAACATCAAACAAGAGACCAGAGGGGATTCTGTTAACAAGATATCACAGGGTCAAAGGATATCCTTGAAACAAGACATACTTTTCACAGAGAAAAGACCTACTCTATGCGCTTTTCTCAGGCTGATCTTTTCCTCACTAGGTTATTGTGATTTTATCACTTTCTCTCTAGAGTAAGAGACACTACAGCATTAGTGTTAAGTATCCAGTTTGCTATTGGTTTAAGCATCACAGCCTTCCTTCAAGGAATCCTGGGAACTGTAGCTTGGCAAACCACATAAAAGCTCATGCTTCACCAAAAACTGCTATTCCTTTTTGGAGCCACAAGATTCATTTTTGGCTTTGCTGTAACAGAATAAAAAGGCTACCCCACTGGAGTTTGACGATATTCTGTTAGCGATCCATAGCTGCCATTCCAAATTACCATTATAAAGTTATTTGGTACTGATTCATTGTTGCAACCTACACTGGGTCCCGGTTATCTGGAAAAAATGTGGGCCTATAACTTTTAAATAAACAAAAGTTCCCATGGTTTCCTCAGGTGTGGGAACACAAAACAGTTTTAAAAATCTGTGGTGTAGATCTGCCCAAAGTTTTGGGGCCACACAAAGGGCATGCAGATTTGAAATCACTACAAAGCCCAGCATATTAAAGGCTTTAATACTCTCTGTACATAGGAAATCCCACTGAATCTGTGTGAATTATTTTTGAGTAGGCATTGATTGAACAGGGCTTACACGAACCCTTGATTATTTTCTGAAGATTTTTTCCCCTAAGTATCTACAAAACTGCCAGATTTATTCAAGAATGGATATTCAAAAGGGATTTTTACGGCCCTTTTGATCTTTCATTATTAAACCTTGCATGACTTTGTAAATCATAAGGAAAGCTTCTGACAGCTGCTTGCCTCTCCAGCAGTTCAGCCCAAATTAACAGTGCAATCCTAAACAGAGTTACGACCTTCGAAGGCCACTGAAGGGGCTTAGAAGGGTATAACTCTTCTTCAGATAGCTCCTTAAGAGTTCCACCCTCCTCATTCCTTTCATCATCACAACAACCTAGTGAGGTGTCACCCTCTCTGTCACCCTGACGGGGAGGGGGAGAGAAACAGAGGCAGTGAATGGCCCACGGTCACCCGGTGAGCTTCATGGCCAAATAGGAATACAAGCCTAAGTATCCCCAGTCCTAGTCTAATGCTCTAACCACTACACGACCACCCCTGATGCTGCAGTACTGTATCCAAAAACTACACAAATCACCCCCCACCTCAAAAATATCCTCCATGTTGAGCAGTTTCTGGTAGCCTCCATGTGCTTTGGCAGCACGTAAACCAACCCCCAGCTTGCTCCAACTGAACAATATGCATTTGGGAATGCTCCACCATTCAGTAGATGCATACAGTGGCACATGACCTGTGCATTTCTTTTGAAAAAGCTTTACATTTCATCCTATTTGGTTTGTTCATTTTGTTCAAGAGGCACAATTTTCTTCAAGCGTTATAGACATGTTAAATTGACTCAACAAAAACTGAGAAGCACAGATCCAGCAGCCAATCCAAAAATCCATTTATTCAGAATTAGACCAGGCTCAATAAATGAATTTGGAGTGAGCCTACTGTACACCCCGGAATGAACTTGCAAAGCATCTCTCAGCTGCTATCACCGCTATTCACTAAAGCAAGTAAATTCTTTTAATGGCTCTTCTGGACTGCTGGAAGAGAAGGGTTAGTGGGTCAAGAAAAGGAGCGATCAACAAAGGAAGGAGGTGCATCCACCCCTCTGAGCTCAGGGGCCAACTCTTGGCAGTCAAATTCCAAAGAAATTGAGCTCCTGGAAAACTAGCGCAGTAGCCAGTGGCCTGAGCCAGGACAGAGACAAAGGGCCCACTGTGTTACTTAGCGGGACTGGGAAAATCCATCTCAGAGTGTGGTTTAGGAGGAGGTAAGAGGATTCCTTCTTTGACTGGAAATACGGGGCAGATTTAGCAACAAAATCTTGAAGATTTTCCTCCCTCTTGGTGTAAAGCTTTCCTCAATGGAAGAAGGAAGTGGTGTTAGCCAGTTCCGACAAAGTCTGACACTGGAATTGTGCAAGTGGAGTTGCCTAGCGTGACAGAAGTGAGCTCTGCAGCAGAGGATCGCCTCTGCAGCAGCTGGAGAGAAGCAAAGGTATAGGATCTGAGCCAATGTGTTCTATTTTATTTTCACTGTAGACAGAACAGGCCCTGAAGGATGCCTGCAGGTTGTGGGCCACATTCATGGCCAAAGTACAGTCTCTTGAGCAGCATGCTGGGATACCGGCTGGTCTCCAGCTGGACTGAGTTAAAACTGGAGGCACTGTTTGTGTAAAACAGCACTGCCATGTGGGTTGCGTGTATACAGCTTCCCAATTTCCAGAGGAGTGGAGGTTTCAAAAAAGGCATCATCATCACAACAACTGGGGGGGGGGTTCCCACTTGCTCTCCGGTGCAGAGCTGTCAGTACACAAACCATGCCTCTGCATGCACACAGCCACAGCACATGTGCTCACACTGGGGGCACCTCATGAACCACACACCTCTAGTCTAAACACATTTTAACTAATGGAATCAAACTAAGCAAAAATGAATTCTTAAGATGGAATTTACATAGCACGCATCAACGCAAAGAAACCCACAGCATACATATATTAAGGGGGGGGGGGACAAAAGCTGGCACATACTTGTACAGATGTGAGGTGTTTGTTGTATTCGTCACAGTGTCACCAGGGAGTTGCCAGTTTTTTATTGACCCCTTCACAAATCCTGACACCATCACGAAGCCCAAGACAAGAACGTTGATGCAAGTGAACACTTTGTTAACCATTGCAGATTCTTTCACTCCAAAAGTTAAGAGTCCTAGAAAAATTGATTGGATAATTAGACCTTCTGCACTCCACCGACAAAGAAAAAACAATGTGTCTTATTTCTCTCTCTTTTTAATTTGGCTGCCAAATCAAGTTACCAACAAGCCCAGTTCATTAACATAGTATGGCAGGGCATCGGCTCTGTATGTATCTCACATCTCCAGTTAAAAGGATCAAGTAGTAAGTTGACATGAAAGACCTCCCCCTGAAATCCTGGAGAGATGCTGCCAGACAGAGGAAACAATACTGATCTTGGTAGGCCAAGTGGTCTGACTCAGTATAAGGCTGCTTCACATGTTTCAGACTTGCTATGGGTTGCAGTGATAAAGTATTCATGCTACAATTCCTTTGTGCAGTAGGTGTTTTTCGCAGCCATTTCTCTGCCATTACAGCTTCCCTGCCCACAAGCTTGACAGACTTAAAATATGGGCACTTTCAAAAGTGGTTACTGATGCAGAATGAGGAACCTGTTCAGGGTGGGGAAAAACAACCTCAAAGTCCACACCTCAAGATCACACCTCCACGGTCTGTATCCTTTGGAAAACCTGCAAAAAGTAGACTGAACCAGAATATCTACAGACGATTCATCAGACCAGTTCGAACAAAAAACAAAGGGGGGGGGGGGGGGGGGAGTCTGCACAGATCTTGCATTTTTATAAAAATGGCATTTGGTTTCAAGTAAATACACGGCTGGCTTTAGTTTCAGCATAAATTACATGCAACTACGGGGCTGGAAAGATTTTTTGTTTTGTTTGAGAATTTTGCACTCATACATACATATTTTAATGTTTTGACTCTTCTAAAATAAACAGCCATCCAACAGGGTGGTTGCAATTCGGTCTTCTTTTTTCCACAACCTCCTGGCTGGGACATTATATGAACTGGCAGCTTATGAAGGTGAGAGTTACAAACCTAAGTTCTTCTGCAGCGTCCACAGCTTTTCAGATTCCATCTCCCTACCATGCAAGGTATAAAGTCCCTATTGCAGTTCTTTCCTCACTTTCCCTTCAGCACCTAGGACACAATTCTTATCAAAGCAATTACGAACAGGAGGTGGCCACAGCAGCTCTAACTCTGCAGTCACTCAACAGGTCAACCTGACACTTACAACAAACAAAGAAGCTTTAAAAACAAAGCCAAAATAAATGAGGGTGTTCCCTTTTCCCGCAAAAGCAAACAAGAGGATTGCAGAAGAACAATGAATTATTAGCCAGAGAAGCTTCAAAAACTTGGATCTTTTCTTTCTTACCTGTTAAGATTAAGATAATGAAAACAGAAAAGATGTCTGGGTATTCTGCTAACACTCCAGGAGCATCCATAGACATGTGCTTATGAAAGAAGGTCTCAAGATGCTTGCCTATAAGTTCATCAAATGTTGCACTCCATGCTCTGGCCACGCTTGACGTACCTGTCAGAAGACAAAAAAAATGAGGACCTGCAATAGTACGCTTGTTGTTCAATTCAGTGTGCTGGAAGAAGAGGGAGGATAGAGGGGAGGAAGGTCTTCAGGTGCACTGTGTCTTGTTGTTCAGTCGCACAGTCGAGTCTGACTCTTCGTGACCCCATGGACCACATTACGCCAGGCCCTCCTATCTTCTGACGTGCTCTGGAGTTTGCTTAATTTCATGTTCGTTGCATCGATAACACTGTTTAACCATCACTGAGTCTGGACACCCCCAAAGCATCTAGAGAGACTGTGCCAATACTCATGCAGATCCCTGTAAACTCAAATGGCAGACTGGGGTAAATAGCAGTAAATTCAATCTGAGGATTGCTGCCAATCCCTCCTACTCTCTCTTTCTTATACATATGCACCTTATTTGTGCATCTCTTTTTTAGTAGGTGTGGCTTCCTGTGCTTCCAAGCCCGAACCGGAAGTATAAAACAAACACTTTGGAGAAGGTGTCAACCCCAAGTACCCTTAGTGCTAATGGAAGCTGTGTAAATGATCTCCTCATTGGGAGCCTGTTAGCCAAAGGTACTTGTTAATTATCAGGCATGGCATCAGGTCCCATTAGACACTTCTAGAAGAAATGTTGTAGAATGCATTTTTATCCGACCATCCATTCAATCTTCCACCCAGAATCCAAATTTAACACTATTCTTTGACTCCCATTTTTTTTTATTAAATACCCTCCATCAATCCACCAAATTCACAACATAGGGCTGAAGTAAGCATCTGAATTTCCTTTCTACCTGTATACTTCTTTCAACCCACATACAGTGCAATCATATGCAGGAGTTAATCCAATCTAAGCCCGTTGAAATCACTGTGTAGGACTGCACTTCAAGTGGGCCAGAAGAAAATTTCCCACTATATTCATTGGTTCAAACTCTTTATAAGGGTATACCACAGCCACAAAGCTTTCTGTATACGAAAGTGTGAACACTTGTTTCCCCTATTTCTTTGAGCTCTCAAGAATATTAATAACTAGAATTTCAGTTGGTAGTTCAAGGAAGCTACATGGGACACAGCAGAGGAAGTGGTTATTTCCCCTATTACTGCTGTGGATTCCCCAGGAAGGTATGAGAGCAGCCGCCTGTGACAAAAAAGCCTTTTCTTTATAAATGAATGGTCTAATCATATCCATGATTATTGTTGTTGTTGTTCAGTCACACAGTCTGATCTACTCTGATCTAAACCCACTGAAATAAGTTAGTTACTCTGCATAGGACTGCACTGAACGCCATATATAAATCCAACTCCCTAGTCACCATAATATAGCAGGGTAACACACTTCTCTGTTGCATAAGAAGCAGAATCCAAAGAAATGTAGATTTCAAAGTTATGACCAATCACCCTTGTCTGTCCTTGTCTTTTTGATGTGTTCATCCAATATAAATGAACCACGCTTGCCAACCATTTGCCCTGCACTTAGTTTAATAGCCCTTTGAAGTGCTAAACCCCATCAACTAGACTTTTTGATCTCACCAAGAACTTCAATTGGAGAATCCTTTGTATCCACTATTGACATATTAAGTGCATTCTAGCAAAGAATATGCTCTTGCTGCCAACCTAATCACTGTAGCCTTAACACTAGCTGATCCTAAATTTGGATTTTATATTAGCTTAGACCTTCTGGCAGTTTTTTTAACCAGGGCCCCAAAAAGCTAATTCCCTATAATCCCTTTTGAAAAAGCAAGATTCACCTCCCTAGCCAGGCTTCTCCCATTGAGGGAATCACTGCCCATTTATCATCAGAAGATGTATATTTAGATTTGCTTAATAAGTACTGTACTTACTTGAAAAGAAGATGAACCTGAATGTCGATTACCACCCCTACAAATGCTATATACAGCTTTTAAAATTATTGGACATAACTGTAATTGGCATGCAAATTTAAGACAACGCCCTCTTTTTTGATGGTATACCTGGAAAAAATATTTTAAGAGTACTTCTAGCTTGCCACTAACAGCCACACAGTCCTAAGCATAAAATTGTAACTTTATTATATTGCTGTCCCCATCTCCAACCCATTGCCTTGTTCTTTGAGACCTTATCTTTCAATCAATAACATTTCCTTTCTTGTTCAAATAATCTAGACCAGTGGTTCTCAACTGGTGGTAAGCATTGAGGGGTGTGCAAAAAAAACACACACACCTTGGTTCGGGTATGTTAAACCCGAAAAATATTGGTATTTCCCAATATTCCCAAATCCCAATGCCAGTATGGACCAATGGACCCAAGAAGAAAAAAACCGAGAGGATCAGCTGGGGCGGCGGGAGCTGAGAGCTCAGTGCTGCCCCAGCCAATTCTGAGCTGGCTCCTCTTTGCAGCTTGGTTTAAACCCCTTCCTGAGATATTCCTCCCTTCCTCCTTTCCACAGGTGGTGGCTCTCCCAAAGCCAGCAGAATGGAAGGGAAGGAGCTGCAAGAGAGGATTCAGCTGGGGTATAGCTGAATGCACCCGAATAAAAGCCTTAAAAGGGGCTTTTTGGGGGCTCAGCTATATCAATAGCCAAATACAGATCTCTGAGCTGTACTTGGCTTAAATAATACAAGGAAAATACCAATAAGGTATTCTGGGGGCTTGGTTTATACCGAGCGCACACCCCTAGTAAGTACACACTAGCGGGACACAGAAGCACTCTAGGTGAAATGCAAGGCTTTCATAATAAGAAATAAGAACTTGCTCTGTCCATGTCCACCTTCAATTGTGATGTGCCATCACTGGAATCAGCTGCCTAGGGAGGATGTGAGCTCCCCCTCACTGGCAGTCTTTAAGTAGCGGCTGGACAAACACTTGTCAGGGATGCTCTAGGTCAGGGGTGTCGAACTCATTTGTTATGAGGGCTGGATCAGACATAAATGAGACCTTGTTGGGCTGGGCCACGTGTGTCATAAAATGTAATGCCAGGTAGCGGAGATATAAACTTTATAAAGTACACAAATACAAAGGGTTTTTTTACTAAAATAAAAACATGCTTAAAACATTAGCACTCTTGCAATATTTTGTTTATTTAACAGTGTCTGATAACTGACACCTCTTGCTCTGAATTATTGCATCAAAATGTCTGTGCTGTTGTTCAGGTGTGTATCTGTAAGCTGAAAACCCACGGTGACGCAGCAGCAGCATAACTGGAAGAAGAAGCAAGACAGTCAGTTCCACTGTGGGCCTGATAGAAGCCCTCCAGGGGCCTGATCCAGCCCCTGGGTTGCATGTTTGACACCCCTGCTCTAGGTTGATCCTGCAATGAGCAGGTGGTTGGGCTACATGGCCTGTATGGCCCAAGTCTGTGATTCTATGATTTTATGTCCTGTAGACCCTACCTGCCATTAATTACCCATACATGACATTTTTGGCATGCTACTAATAACCTTGGCCACTTGTGTTTCTCTTAATTCCCCATTCCCCCTGCCCACCAGCAAGTGTCTTGGATGTGCTGGTTCCTGCTGCATTTTTGCCATAGACTATCCATTGTGCTTCTGCAATTTTAAAAAATGTCCTTAAATGCCTGTATACATACAAATGTCCTCCTTGGAAAAAGGGGACTTTTAGTTTCTATCATGGTGAGACCCAAGTTCTTTGACAGTAGTTGGTGCGATATAATACACAAAAGGTTGAGAACCCCTGGGACCTATGAGACTGAGGAGTATCAACCTCACTCAAGTAAAACACCTCCACACATAGTGCTAACCTGGAAGAGAAACAGTATGCTGATGCACAGCAAATGCACCTCCAAGGGCATGATCCAGAGGAATAGTTTAAAGTCCAGTCAGGCAAGACTTTATGTAAAAATCCTTTTGAGGAAACAGACATTATAAAAACCACATTGTCTAATTGACAAGGTCTCCATATTTTATTGGAGGCTCTTGCTGTTTGACTGAATTGCTTTTCATAGTTTATAATTTGCCTTGGCTCTTTGTGGGAAAAAGCAGGCTACTAATGAAGGTAATTAAAAAAATAATAATGGTGGGCCCCAAGCATGTTGCAATTCTTAGCTATACTATATGCATAGTAGGGGGATAGTTTTGCATTTGTTTCAAGCTGGTAAAACAAGCTCAGGATTCCAGGAAACAACTATTTTAGCACTGGAAAGAAGATGAGCCAGAAAAGCAGGCTGAAAGAGGATGCGAAACGAGACTGACCACTTTTTTGCATCTCTGATTTGCTCAGCCTCATCCCTGGTGCTGCCCAATTTTCTGACTTCAGGCCACGGTTCAACTGCATGAGCAGCAGCTGCTCCTATGGATTCACAGGACTGCAGCAAAAAAGAATGAATTGGCTTGGCCATACAAGCCTTTTCCTCCCATTACCCCAAACGCCCTTGAAAGGAAGGGGGGGCCACAGAAGTTGTTACCCTAAGTTTTGAAATGACTATTTTGTATCATGTAACTGTAGCAACCAGGTACTCATAAAGCCACTAGCTTGATGTCTTCTATAATCCAGAATATAAAATACAATGGGCAAAGATTTTTTCAAAACCTGTAGTTCAGTTTCCTGAATTATATCCCGTATTACCTTCATCAGGGGCGGATTAACCATTAAGCAGACTAAGCACGTGCTTAGGGCACCAGGGCCAAAGGGGGCACCACAAAGTTGGGAAAAGGGTGAAAAGAAAAGAAAAAACCTATCACGGTATGGCAATGCTGGAAAAGGCAACCCTTCATACCTTTCCAAAACGATATGTGAGGAACTTATTGAGTTAATGGCAAAGAAAGTGCACTCCGTCTTCATTGACAAAATTAATGTTTCTGGGTACTTCAGTCTGTCTGTGGACTCAACGCCTGATCTTTCACATGTTCACCAACTGAGCATAGTGCTCAGATACTTGCAAGATGGAAAGCCAGTTGAACGATTTATCACATTTTTGGAATTACAAAACCACACTGGTGAACCCATGGCACAGCAGGTGTTGAAGTACTTATGTGATGTTTGTAAATTGGATTTTACTAAATGCAGAGGGCAGTCATACGACAATGCTGCCAACATGTCTGGATGTTACAATGGCATGCAGCAAAAACTTTTGGATGCAAATCAGTTTGCCATTTATGTACCCTGTGCAGCTCATTCACTAAATTTAGTTGGACAAAGTGCTGTAGATTGCTGTCAAGTTGCAGTAGATTTCTTTTCCACTGTACAACTGCTCTACACATTCTTTTCAGCCTCAACTGCTCGGTGGAGAATTCTCAAAGATTGCATTGGAAATGAAAAAGTGTTGAAATCACTTTCAGACACCAAATGGGAAGCACATGCTGTGGCAACTGCAGCAATTATCAACTCTTTCTTCAAGATTCTGGAAGCTTTGGAGAAGATTTATCAGATGACCAGTTGCAAAAAGGTGACACTAGAAGGGAGGCAAAGAATATTGCAAACAAGATGCAAGAACTGGAATTTGTGAGCATGCTGAATTTTTGGAATGAAACTTTAGAAAAGTTTCATAGAACAAGTCAACTTTTTCAAAGTGAAAATGTGATCTTGCAAACATGTGCAGATTTGTATTCATCATTGGCAGACCAGTTGCACACATCAAGAGATGAGTTTGAGAGATTTGAATCACTTGCAAAGGACATGTTCCCTGATGTAGAATACATACATACGTGTAAGCATATAAGAAAGAGAATGGCCAACGATGGAAATGCACCAGAGGTCATTCTCAGTGCCAGAGACAAATTCCGTATCTCCACTTTTTATGTAATTGTTGTAAAGTTAGAAACTGAAATGAGGAGGAGACGAAAGGTGTACACTGAAATAGCAGACAGATTCTCTTGTCTGACAGATGTTCCTAATGCCACCCAACAAGGTGCTAATTCCCAATGATCAGAAAGTGAAAGGTACTCAAAGACTTGTCAGACACTCATTGATGCTTATCCAAATGACATGAACAACACTTTGTCTACAGAGCTTCAGCAGTTCCATTCATATGTTCTTCATAAGTTTAAAACAACCAAGAAAACATATTTCACTCACATAGAACTTTACAAAACAATTACAGAAGACAAACTAGAGAGTGCCTTTCCGAATGTTGAAATTGCCTTAAGAATATTTTTAACATTAATGGTCACCAACTGCACAACAGAGAGGTCTTTCTCACAACTGAAACGTGTAAAAAACCCAAACACATCAGTTATGCTTCAAGAAAGACTCAACTCACTGTGTATATTAACAATTGAAGCAGACATTCTCAGAGGTATTAATTTCAAGGATGTTATCAGTGATTTTGCAAAAATGAAATGTAGAAAAATGCCTTCCAGGTCATGGATATTGGAACTTTGATGCATTTAACTTGTGAAATATTAAAATAGATGTTGTATTACATTTTTGTAGAACTTTAGGTAGCCCAAGCTTGGCTTAATTTGTACAGTATATTATGTTATCATATGAATAAATTTTTGTATTGCTGCAACCTGCATTGTAGATCTGGTCAGACAGGTCAATAACTAAAATGGACTGGGTCAGTGTGGAAAAGAGGAGGCACCAAGATTGGTCAGTGCTCAGGGCACCAGTGAGCCTTAATTCGCCCCTGACCTTCATGCACACCTTAGCACAGGTAAACTATCCTTGAGCATTCCAAATTCAGCTCTTAACCAACCTCATACTTTGAGAAACTGAGCAAAGGGGGGGGGGGAATTCCACTGCTTGTAGGGATCAGCAAGAGTTGTGTTTTGTAACATGTATAAATGCCTACAAAGCAAGGAAATTCCTAAAATGATGTGTATGAACACCAAGAGGGATGTAAATAAATAGTGAGCTTTTGATGTTTAACATACATCCCTCCACACCCTTCCAACAGCAACACTTCTTTTCGTGAACAAATTCCCTCCTTAAATACAGTCATGCTGTGCTTCACCAAGTACTACAAAAATAAACTAACAACAATTTAACTTTATTTCTCTCTTCCTCCTCCCCACCCCCTGCAATGCCCTTTCCTTTTTTCACATGATCTAAATGCTTGGGCCACACAATAAAAACTGCCCACTGCAAGACTGTACTGTACGTAGTTTGGATACCAACACAGACAAAGATGAAATTGTTCAGCTGCATTCCAGTTACTGCAGGGGGAGGAACCTGCATCAAGCAGACTTTAGACAGTTGCTATAATGATGCCAAATTCCCTAAAGGTGTTCCCGTAGGTGATGCAATATTAAGCTCAACATGCTAAATTAAGCTTGCTGGCTGGGGAACATAACAAAAATCTAAATTGATATGAGCCAAACTTAAACATAGTCCCTCCTACAGGGACACTAATTTACTGCAAGGAAAAGTCAATTTCTGATATTCAACAGGATTCAGTAAATTACATGAACTGTACAATTATTTGATCAAAGAAATCAACCAAGCTATTTTAGAATCAAACTACACATTCAAAATAATTATGTGGTGCTATTCTATTGGGAATGTGCAACTTCAGACTACAAACGGGAGATCTCCTTTAAATGCTCCTCTGTGAAAAAGTTCCTGGCAACTGAGGATAAAATACAAGAGACAGCACAAGACCTCACTGGCACTCCTGAGGGGTTCTACTCTCCCAATAAAGTTTTTTAAAGGTCACCAACCCAGGGGGTGGGAATACACCACATGAACAGTGGTCACATGGTTAACTATGCTGCACCATGGAGAGCAAATAGTATGTGAGATTTACCACTGGGGAAACCAGCATGGAGAGAGGTTACACCCATCTTCTCCTGGCTTGCTTTCCTGCCATGCTTCCCGCTACCCAACAGATGCTTTCAAATATTTAAAAAAGGGAAATCCAGTCACATAGCCAAGCCTTTAGAAAAATAAAACACTCCCCAGTCTGCCAGTTTTCTACATGCAGGCTATTTTTACACTGAGAACTAGCAATTCCTCATCTACAGTTTGAAATGTTGCATACATGTATGTGTGCACATGAACACACATGTCCCCTACATGACAAACACATAGTCTGCCAAGTCGACCTACTTTTGACAGTCCCAATCTCCTCTCCTCTTCTCTGAATTCAGTCTTCCCATGTCTTCAAACAGCTGATCATCAGTTAAATATAATCTTACCGATCACCCTGTACAAGTGGACCCAATGCAATACAGCATCGTTTTATAAGTCAGGGTCCACACACAGAGTTATGGATCCATTCCCACTAAAGGCTGCACTGTTTTCCAGCACAAGAAGTAGAAGAAATTCTAGAATTATAGTAAGGTTCATTGCGCTGCAGAAAAACACCACCATTAGTGGAACAGATCCTTAGGATCCAATGCAGACCCTGGGATAGCAACGTTTACCTCCTTAAAGCTTTGCCTCCACAAACAAGAGAGTCAGAGAGACACAAGACCACCATCTAGCATCGCCCTGTACCCTTAATCCTACTGATTTCATGAATCTACGCATGCTCAATTTTATACATGAATGCAGTCTCTCTTTTTTAGCAACAGCACGATCTAGAACTAAGCTAGTATTATCTGTCTATCCATGCTCAATAACCCCTCCTTCTCATCCAAATGCATTCTGTTTCCTATGTCAACGTAATAACTTTTACAATGGTCTTTGAACTCTGTCTCAAAAAAAGGAAGCTGCTGTTAAGAATAGAATATTATACAAACGTTCTACAAATGCAGATGTCCGATTTGGATTGAATGGAGCGGTGACCTAAAATACCCACCAATGACATAGGAAAGAATGAGATTCCATCCAGTGATGAATGCCCACAGCTCGCCCACAGTGACATAGCTGTACAAATAAGCTGATCCTGTCTTTGGAACTCGAGCACCAAATTCACCATAGCAAAGTCCAGCCAGCACAGATGCCAGAGCAGCAATCAGGAATGAGATCACAATGGCGGGTCCTGCATTTTCTCGGGCCACTGCCCCAGCAAGCACATAAACTCCTGCCCCAAGTGTGCTGCCCACACCAAGCGCAACCAAGTCAAATGTGTTGAGGCATCGTGACAGACGGCTATCTTCTCTTGTGCAGTCCACAACTTTCCGACGGAACAACTGCTGTCCAATACTGATGAGACCTTTGCAACCCATCCTCTCAAAGGAACCTATAGAAAGGAAAGAAATGCAGAAGTAAATCAATGGCAGTTTGAAGTACCAGTAGCAAATTCTTCCGCATTTATTATACTTTTATGCAGAAAAACTTCAGGGGGGAAACTGCAAAAAGTTTCCCATTTCCCCCCCAAAAATCCACACTGTTACATAAAACAAATTAGTAACATAACAAATTGATATGACACGAGTTAGACCGGGTGGTTTCAAAAGGTTTATATTAAATGTTTACCACAAAAGACACATATAACCACCACTTCACAGCAGAGACTACTTAACACATTCAGAACTTGTTAGCAGAATCCAAGCCATAGTCATGTTGGACTGTTGCAACCAAAAGTAAGTCTTGCAGCAACTGAAAAACTAACACATTTATTGTGGCCTACCAGTTCACTAGCCAGAGTCCGCTCTGTTAGATGCATAGTGTTAACCTCAGTATGACTAAATGCCCCTGCCATTTATATATTTACTGACAGAGGGTAACATGTCATTTGTTAGTCCTTAAAGGTTTCTTTAAAATTGCACACACAAATTCAGACAAGTGCCCTAAATTAGGTTCTTCTCAAATCAGGCCATTCCCTTTATATTGTCAAACTCCTTAAGAAAGATGCTTTTGACAACTGTTGACTGTTGGCATAGTTTTTGCTACCTGTGTGACAATGCGCACAAAGCTCAGCTTTTCAGCTTCTGTTCCAGCAACACTAAATGAGAGGGAAAAGGTGACCTTCAACAGAGATAAAAGCTTTCGTTTGATGTAGAATTTTCAGCCAAGGATGTTAAAAAAAGATGCACTAACCTTCCTGCAAGTTCTCAGTTAAAAGGAGGAAGCAGGTGACACTGGGTAGCAGCCTGAATAGCTCAGACTAGCTTGAGCTCATCAAAGTTTGGAAGCTGTCAGCCATGGTCAAAGCTTAGATGGGAGACCACCAAGGAAGACTACGGTTGCTATGTATGTTGCCTTGAAAACCCCATGAAGGGTAGTCATAAATCAGTCGTGTCTTGACAGCACTCTATTATTATTATTATTAGGTGAAACGGGAGAGCTGGGAGGTAGTCAACATTAATATCAATTTGTTACCTATAACTCCACCATCTGCCCATTTAAATTGGTGCAGAGCATTATTAAAAGAAGAATCATTACGCATACAGAAAAAAATCTTTGCCGAAGAAGAACCAGCATGGTTTCCAAAAAACAAACCTTAACTCACTAACCTTTCAAAAAAATCTTTCCAAAGCAACAGGTATCTGCAATTTCTGAGTAGCCTACAAATATCCACATGGGGCGCCACCATCAGCCTACAGACCTTATGTTATGCAGGTCTAAATTAAAAACATCAAGTCCTATAAGATTAACATTCAATTACTGCAATCTAGAAAAAATGCAATTGGTTTTATCTCATTAAAATCACTGAAAGACCAGGAGCTCACTGGACAGAGCTCTGTTCCTTTCACCTGGCAGGAACTTATTTCTTGAACAGGGCAAATTATGCTTCAACATATTGGGCTACAGACAACCCAGATCCAAATGAACACACGCACCTTCGAGCCATGAAGATCAGCACGCTGGCTTTGGCAATTCATTTCACAGTCAAAACTACAGGAACAGCTTTATTATAAGGATTAATAGACTAAGAACTGTATGGCACTAACCAACGCTACATGAATTAACAATAAATCAGCTATCTCTGCCCAAACACCGGCTTCCCTAACAGCTGACGAAGCCTCCTTAAGGAACCTTGCCTGTCTTAAATACACAGGAACTGGATCCTTGGATTGGAGGCTTTGCTGAGGGTCACCTGGGAAGCCCCTATGGACCAGACTGAGCCACGGGCCACCAGTTGCACACCACCTTTATACAATGCAGCATATTGTAAGAACAATAAGAGAACATAGATACTATCTGAAGATATGAGCAATGACTCTTGAAATTTTGTTAGTATTTAAGGTGCTATTGGACTCTTACTCTTCCAACAGTTGTGAGGTTTAGGTCTATTCTGGCCTCCTAAAATAGCATTACTAGGGTGGATAATTGTTGCAGATCAGATATTAAAGGTACAGCTGAAAGAACCATTTTAAAAGATGGCAACCCTAACTGTATTATAAATCCTGCGTAAGTCACTGGACACCTTCAGAAACAATAGCACCTTAAGATATCATATCATATTCACTGTTGTGTTTCTAGAAAAATGCTCTTGACATTGATAAAGATGTAAAATTTCCAGAAATTTTACAGTTACAGAGACAAAAATGAGGTTATTTGAAAGCAGAAGAAAAGAGAAAAAATGTCTCCCCCCCCCCCCCCCGGTTTCTCTCCATGAACAAAAAGGACAATTGGGAAATGTTTTTGAAATGTATACAGAATTTTCATTCATATCAACCCAGAATATATTTAACTGTGTGGACAACATAAAACACTTCATTTATAACTCAGCACATGACACAATATTATCTGACAAGTATAAATGGCCACACTTTTCTACAAGCAAAATAGCCAAGTACACCCAATACTAAAGAGAAACCTGCAAACTACTGCACTATTATAGCTTGGCAAAAGTAGCTTAGTTGTTGCCATTTGAAATGTATGAAAAATAAAAATAAAAACACATCATTGGAAATATACCGTATGGTAATTTCTGTATATATTTACAGAATCACAGGAATAATTATGCAATTACCTTCCATAAAATTCTTTATACAATGCATTTTGAGTGAGTAAAACCTTAAAATTTTCATTCATTCCCTGGAGGTCCCGTCCCCCCCAGTATTCCTCAAAATGTACAGGTTTTTCCTGAAAACCTGAAAAGGCCTTTGGAAAAAAGACTCTGGAAACTTCCCCCTTTCTTGTGTTTTTCCCCACTGGAACTTCCAGCCTCCTAGCCATTTTCCTTTTATCATCAGTGATATCTTATCCGAGAGGACAAAGAAAGAGGGAGACAAGGAAACGGGAGAAAGCACTGAAGATGGGGAAAGTATGTAAAACCATAGACGAAATTCTGCTTCTTGCATCTTGCTACTAGCAAGTGAAACCCAGACCATACAGTAGAGCTTTTTGAATAGTGGCATCTTCCCCTTGGAAATCTTTAACAAGGTCTCCTCCCTGTACAGATTGTATTGGCAGCTTCAGACATTTATTCACTAAAGCTGCGGCTGGCCACTGTTGATTTTTGCTTTTAATAAGGTGTCAGCTGACAGAGTGGTGTTACTCTTTGAATTCCCTTTGCTGTCCTTAAACTTGCTGTTTTCACAGATCATTTAATGGATTCAGGGTCTTAACTTTTGTATGCTTTTGAGCGTTCCAACTTGCAAAAGTTTGAAAAGCAACTCAAAAACATAAAATATCTGTGCACTTTGCTTAAATGCACATTCATGCCCTGTCCCCCTCTATAAACCACACAGCTCCATATTTCAACACTTCTCACCCATTTCCTTAAATACTTGCACAACATAAAAAGTGGAAAATAAGTCCAACTGTTTCATTCCTAGCCTCTCAATGTATTTTGACTCTGCTTCACTCCCATCAGAAGGCCTAGCATTAATTTTTTGTTGTTTTCTCCTCTTATTCAGCCTACAATTTTCAACTATTCTGTCCAGTCTTCACCAAATGCCTCCCCACCTTTACAGAGCTTGTAACAAACTGCTCAAATTGCATCAGCACTTGGAACAGAAGGCCTCTTTCCTGCTGTGCTGGCAGACAAGTTTGTGTGTGAGCTTTTTAAAGTACCACCTTGCAGTTTAACAGTATATTAGCAAGTAAGACTATCAGGACTCAACAGTTTGTAGCTAAAAAGCATTTCCATGACAACGTCACCCACTCACTCACCTACCCTACAGTCACTAATAAACTTCACTAGTTTTCTTTCAGGTTTCACAACTGCTGTTGGGTTCCTTAAAGTGCTACGCATTTTAAGTACTCTGGCAACATACCTGCCACTGAAAAACAAATGGCCCTTCTATACTGGTTGAATAGCTAGCTATTCAGGGGAGAGAAAAAGCCCTCCGGTGATTATGTAATAAAAGGTAATACTCACTGTAAACATTTATGGTACTTTCACAACTTTTACCACTTTATTTTTGCAAAGGACCACAGTTTTCACAAATGAACAGCTACTTCCGTAACCATTTATAAATGTAAAATAAATACCCTCTACCCCCTAAGATATTGAGCAGCCTCATTAATGTTATAGGTCGGGGTAACCAACCATTTTGAGCTATCAGGGACCTTTGGAATGCTAACACAGGGAGGTGGGCACAAGTGCAAAATGGCTGTCACAGGAGGCGGAGCCAACCACAAAATGTCAGGGAGTGATGTTATATACAACATCACCATCATTGCAGGCAGAAGCTCTATTTAAAGGGGCACTTTTTAAAAAACATAATTTTTAAAGTCTATTTTTTGTGGAGGTTTGCATACACACAGTTTACGTTCAGTCACACAGTGAAGATCCTTGTCTTGTGATGGCAGCTACTGCCAAAGCAACATTTTTTAAAAAAAATATGCACAGCCAGTCAAAAGCCCTGCAAGGCAAAAGGCCTATCTGGCCCCACCAACTGGCGGGCAGCAGGAAAGGTGTCAGTAGACGTCATAATGCCCATAGGAACCCATGCTGGGGACCCATTAAAGGTGATCAAATGATCTCCAAATACATTAATACATTTCATTTTCTATACAAAAACTGAGTAAATCTTTTTGAGCTGCGAAAGTTATATTCATAAATACACAGGTCAGACAGTAGCCTTGGATACTACCGAAAGTATCTGCTGGTGGATTTCCATCAGGCCCATGACCTCCTCCCCCCCCCCCCCCCCCCCCACCTAGCTAGTAAACCAAAACAGTCCAGTGGCACGGGAACACCCAGGAACAGCAGGAAGGAAAAAATAGAGGGTTGCCAGGTCTGGCAAAAATTGCACACAGCCCATAAGTATTAAGTTCTTCTACAGTAATTAAATGATAACATAAAATTAAAATTCTGTATCAAATAGAATGGCTCTCAGTGCA